TGGGTGTATGTCCATGATTATATGGATTTAAAAGTAGAAAAAAGGGACGACTTTTTTCATTCATATTTATATGTATTTCTTCCTCTTTTATTTTTTACTTTATTTTATTTTATTTTTTTTGGTGTGTCCAACGAAGACAAGGAAGATTTTTGTACGACTAGTCTTACTGTTGCTATTTCTGCATCTAGCTCTTCTGGACTCTCAGGTTTATTGGTTCCTTTCCATTTATATTTTTTAATTTTTTATTTTCATTTTTGAAATAGAGCAGTAAGAACATTGGGAGAATGCGGGATAAGAGGGCGAGAGGTGAGGGAGGGAGAGAAGCAGGGAAGGTAAGAGGAGTTTGGAAGGCGGGAGGAGAGGGTTTCCATACCTCGTCTATTCGGTTATTCGGCTTTAGGCAGAGTATGAGGCGGCGGTCAGAGAATTTTTTCACCATCAAAGGAAGGAAAGGCAGGACTCACAGCCGTACCAGACTGGCTGCTGGAATTCGTTCTTGCTCTGTTTATACTAGCCTTCATTTGCTATTGTTGTTAATGATGTTCTTTCCTAATGGTTTTTTCTGCGCTATCAAGAGAGGGGCGGAAAGAATGTGCAGAGATGGAAGTAGAAAACACAATGGAAGAATAAGACTTTTGTTTTCCTAAATTTTTTGAAAGTTAACTTCTTTGGTGCTCGTTCAGCGGTAGTAGATTGTTGTGCATTCGGTTATGTACTTTTTTATCATTCACTGGTTGGCCTTGTCGGTTCTTCTCCATTATTTGAATGATTTGAAGGAAAAGTGAGGGTAGAGGGAGAAGAGAATCCGAAGATAATTTGGCAATTGACTCAAAAAGTTGTTTCGGCATAACTTTTTAAAGTATTACATTGTTGTTGAAAAAAAAAAAGTAGTTTAATTACACTATTATATAATTTGGAGGAGAAACATGTATTTGCCCGCTGGATTTATCGCTTAAGGCAAACGGTTGTTTTTTTATTAATTATATTTCGCCTTTCTTCCCCTTAATTTTGAGTATATACACAGCATTTAGTGTGAGCATCAAATTTCAGTCTTTTTGCTTACTCTGATGTTTTTTTTTTCAGCTTAACCTTCTTTTTTACTTTTTTGTACTGACAAGGATTAGGTTTTGGCATTAGTGTGCAAATGTTCTGCTCAACTGGTTGGTGGATGCCTGAAAAAGTTTGCTCGACGCCTGGAACTTTGACTCAACCTTAGTGTGCTGTGCGTAGGTGAGCAAAGTTTCAGGTGTTCGAGCGCTTTTTTTTATTCACGTCATATTCCCTTTTGTTCAGTTTTCGGATATTTCGTTGATATTTGGTGCTGCAGCGTGAGTTTTGTTCCTTCCGTTTTCCTCAGATAACTGTCTTTTTTTAGTATCTTTATTTATTCGGACAATGATTTTTCAAAATAACTGGGCTGAGCTTAGACATTTAGAAAGTTTGAGGAAGTGTTAATTTATTCTAAAATAAATTTTTTCTGGTTATTTATCTTTTTTCTAGCTAAGTGAGGATGAATCAATTAGTCTAGTAAGTACTAAATATGGTCAGCCGTCTAAAGACAGTCGAATACGCCATTCTGTCAGTGTGTCACCACCGCCGTACGATCGTTCACAACGACACAGCAGCAGTTATGGCAAATCTCATGAGCCAGTCAGCGAAAGGCGACTGCTGCGAGCAAGACGTTTCGGAATCGAGCCGCATCTCGAGGAACTCTCGGTTTGTTAAATTTTAAAGCTTTATTTTCAAGTAAACTAAACGTTTTGACTGATCTTTTAAAAGGCCAGTTTTAAAAATCGGTTCGGTGGTTTTTTTGATTGTTAAATGAGCATTTTTTTGCTTGTTCATTGACCGTTCTAGTACGCTTGCTGTTGTTCAAATACGTATTTGTTTCTGTTACGATTGATATTTTTTTCTGATGCTATAAAGTGGTTTAGGAAACATGGTAGAGCCATAGATCTGCAGATGTTTATCACGTTTTTGGGTACCTTGTAAGCAGTTTTATCTTACAAGCTTTTGGTAGTTTATTTATTAGGACTGGCCGCGAAATAAACTGTTAATCTCTTTCAGAACGCATCCAGTTTAATAACTTGTGATGTTTAATTTGTATATTTGGTTTGAACATTGAGAAAACTAGGTATGGAGCAAACTTATGAAGGTCATATAAACATTTTCCTTTTCTTATTCTTCTTACGTTTTTATAATTCTTCTTCTCTTTGCCTAACTTTGTTTTGTAGTGCATTTAGATTGGTAGATATTATAAAAGCAATATCTGACAGTCGTTTTGAGAGTATTTTTTGTATATTTGATGGATAGGATAAAGTTTTTATTTTGAAAAATGTTGCATATATTCTGATTAAATTCTTTCTTTTTTTCTAAGAGGTTTTTTATTGGCAACCGCAGGTTCATTTCAATTATAGTTTTCATCAGTAAGGTGTTTTCGTACATAAAGTTTCCTATTGGTTACAAGCTCTATGCCTTCCTGTCGTGTACAGTAAAAAACTTTAAACATGTCTGTCGTTTCCGTGCTGTAATTTTGGCTGCTTATATGTTTAGGAAAGTCAAAGGTAATCAGCTGATGCACTGCATTAGTTTAAACGGAAGCAGGTTTAATCTACGGTTTTGTATTGTTATGTATTTTGTTTTAAAGGTACTATATTTAGAATTTTTTATTGCAAAATTTTCAAAAAAGAATTTAAGGTAGGCTGTATTACTTTGTTAGCTCGTATATTTGAAACTTTTTAGAAGATTTGCTTTAGTTTATTGCACTTACTATCTAAATTTTTTTTTTTCATGCTGTTGGCTAAGTTCGTAAAGCAGTTTAACCCTGTGCATGGAGGCGCGATGAATGACTTCATTATTGCATTAATTTTCTTTTATATCACTGTTAACTTTTAATTGGCGTTTTGAACGCATTGATTTTTAATTATTTTGTAAAAAATTTTGTTCTTTAACAGTTCTTTTTTCTCCGTGTAAGGGGAGTGAAGACGAATCATATATAT